ACATAGGACCACAATGGAAACAAGTCCACAGGACTTTTTAATGTTATCCTTTTAGCCCAAATGTGTGACTGTACCTTGTGCTGTTTGCATTTCTGTCTAATAAAGTATTCAATCAATCAATCAATCAATCACTGATGTGATGAAGATACTTAAAGGGGTGCTTTCAAGTTAGCTATTGTGGTTGTTGATGATTGGTAAAGTGACTCAACACCGGTCTTATTCCCAGTCTCATACTGACATGTTGGTGTTGGGAATGAGAACATATTGCACCAATCTTTCTCCAGAATCGCATACAGCACCTTAATGACCTCTGTGACGTTGTTGATTTATTGTGTCTCTCGTAGGAGAAAAGCTTCACTACTCGAGCTACACTCAACAGGCTCCTTGATGCAGGAGACATTACACCGCAGCAAGTGCAGAGGTTACAGCAGGCAGCAGTGGCGTTTCTGGTGAGGGCTGTGGAGTATGCCATGAAGAAACTCCCCATGAGAGAGCCCCTGATAAAACATGCCATGTTTCTGGATGTCCAGCAGAGGGTAGAGTGTGGAGTGGAAGACGCCTTGTACTTTGTCGACAGGTTAGTTGGGGTATCAAGTCAAGTACATTTCTCTATAGTGCCAAATCATAACACAAGTTATCTCAATATGCTTAATAAGTAGAGCAGGTTAAAGACTCTTGGCTCTTGTCACATTTTCTTAACATTTTCTTAATAGATTGTAAAGTTTAATGACCACATCTGAAAAACAACCAGTTTCAGCTACTTTACTTTACCAGATCAGTGCACATTGTGTTCTTTTTAGGTTTCCTGAACTTCTCTCATACAACGGACCTGACGAGCGTGACAAACTGAGTGAGGAGTTTCTGGACTACCAGTCCATGGACATTGCCATGCCCGAAGACCCAGCCACGTTCGACATTGAGAGCTTTTGGGGGAACATGGCATCAATGAAGAATAAGGTAAGAATTATTCTGCACCCTTTGAAATACCCATTGACGTAATCAACTTAATTCTATACAAAAATACTTGAGAGTAATTAGGCTTCCTATGTACATTTTTCAAAGGTGACCGGTATGAGCAGATTTGGGAGGCTCTCTCGTATTGCCAAGTTGGTGTTGGTACTTCCACATTCAAATGCTGATGCTGAACGAGTGTTCTCTGTGGTGGGACTGAACAAAACCAAAACCCGAAACAGTTTGGCTCTTGATGGAACTCTATCATCCATCATGACTGTGAAGATGGCAAACCTTGAGCCACAGTGTTTCAAATGGGAGCCCCCTCCCTCTGTCATCAAGGCATCAAAATCTGCCACAAACACCTACAACATGAGACATGTCATGTAAACCAAAACACACAAACAAAGACATGCACTTTATTTTTTTATAATATATATTATATATATATTATTCTGGTTCTAATTTTGTTACACTTAAAAAAAAAATGCACTAAAGGAAAAGGCTGCTATTGGTTCTTAAAAGGCTGCTATTGTTTCTTAAAAGGCTGCTATGTTTTCTTTATATTGACATTTTATAAATAAATGTATAACATTTGTCAAACCTTTTCTTGTTACAATTGTTTTCATTTCTACTTGTGCTGGTCAATTATTAACACTATATAAGCATGAGGAGGCCGACAGTGCAGGGAGAGCAGCTGGCATGGGGGTGAAGACATCACAACAGTCTTAATGTTAATTTAAATTGAGATATTCCTCTAAATCGACATTAAAAAAGGCCAAATCCGAAAAAGGCCAAATCCGAACATATCTTCCCCCGAAAGTCTCACTCCTACTTTTTACTGAAACTTGGCAGCCGTCTTATCTTAAGATGATCGATGGCTACTGCCATATTTGCAAAATGTGCCTCTGAACCTTGACAAGTGCATGTTTCAAGGCTTATCAATTAACAACAGGAGGGGTCACAGACATAAGAGCAGCTGTTAAATAAAGCTCTTCTGACCTTAGCTATCATGTGGGTATATATTAATGCTGCCCATTATGGACACAAGCAATTTTCACCCATTTATTAATGATATGTTTTAAATTTGATAACACCACTGTGTTTCGAATCCCCTAAACCTCCAGGGTGTACACAGTTTAATAATGGCAACTTCTAATTGTGGGAAATACGAAAACGTCTTATAAAACTACAATTCCCTGTAGAGACGTGCCATAGAACATGTTGCGAAACACAATAGCCAGCATGTGTAGTTCTGGGGGGTGGGGGGTGGGGCTGGACCCGTCCAATTCCAGTTTTGGAAAGTCTGCCGTGGTTCCATTCCATTTCAAAGAGCTGTTGACGCTCGGCGTAACCTTGTCGCACTGCCACTCCAACATCCAATCACAGGGCTTGAGGACTAATCACGGGGTTTGTAAAGCAAGGCGGATGTTGTAGTGCCAAACGATAGCTGGGGATTCTGGGTAGTGTAGTGTCTTCGGAAACTGTAGTGTCTAAACTCCGAAAAAACTATTTATTTCTCCGAATCGAAGGTTAAAAACACAAAAGCATTGTACACAATTTAAACCAATCAATATTGTGTAATTAACAAGGATAAACTGATGTTTTTTAGTGGATGAGTAATGCAGATATCACTGTGTAATCATTTGACAGTGAGGTGAATACTTCCGGTTTTATTATGAAAACTTCGAGACCGGAAATACTGTTTTCACCCCGTGAGGGTTGACGCTAACTTTACATGGAAGCTGCCGCATATACACGTTATCCTGGCGAGACCTCAAATCATCTTCGTAATATCTATCAAACTATAGATCCTACACATCGACTGGACGTGGATTCTACAATACAATAATACAATAGTACAATAATACAATTCTCGCTAGAAATCGAATCAAAAAGCATTTTAATGGCCAAACTATTCCACAATTTAGGATTTTCCAGAGAGGGTTATTTGTGAATAAACGTCCCTCCGGAGCGTTTGCAATCAAGCATGTTGTTTCTTACACGACCACTAGAGCTAGTGGTAAGGAAGAGACAGGACAGGCAATAATATTATTATTATTAATATTTTTATCTTGATTTGATTTTTGATTTTATTAATCTGTGTGAATCTGTGCTGTCCTGTTTTTCACCCTTACCCTGTTGCTGCTTGAACAACTGAATTTCCCTACGGGGATTAATAAAGGTCCATCTTATCTTATCTTAACTTATTAAAGCAAACAGAAGAAGACGACATGTATCAACGTGGTATCAACAAACCACCGCAGCCCGGACTTGTATCGGAGCAGCGGAGGAGTGATGAGGTATCTAGAGATCTGAGTCCAGTGGGCTGCTTGTGTTTCTGTTCCTCACAGGACATCATATGACCAGCAGATCCTGTGTGAACGCTCTACGTTAGTCAGTGGACGTCCGACAACATGCACACTAACTTATATTGCAGCTATAGGCTATACTTTGGTTTAAATTGCGTGAATAAACTAGTTAGAGAGCTAAAGTTAATTACATTCCTCCAATGTCAGAAGGATTATCTTTTAACAAATGTTGTAATGCTTTTCTTTCATTTCAATTTGAGTAAAACATTGAAGATATATCATTGTATTGTTTTCTTTTTACGCTGACTCAGATATAATGAAAAGACTACGCCAGTCGAAGCTCAGCTTTGGTAAGGAAGAGACAGGACAGGCAGAGAAAGAGAAAGAGAGAAAGTGATGGAAGTCAGGGAGGAACTGCAGGTACGGTACAGTCACACAAAAGAATGTAGGCTTAATAACCCCATCTATCTATCTATCTATCTATCTATCTATCTATCTATCTATCTATCTATCTATCTATCTATCTATAACAATAGTCTTCATTTACAATATAGACAATAGGCATAATTTTAAAACAACATATATCTATTGCAGTTATGATGTCATAATAACATACAATTGTATAAAACCAAAAAGAGGAGCAAAAAGTGAACAACGAGGGAGAGATTGAACAAAGAGAAAGAGTAGAGGACAGAGAGAGTAATGAACAGGAAGAAGACAGAGAGACTAAAGAAGATGGAAGAGAGGGTGCAGGTTATGGAAAGGAGAGAGACATGGAAAATGAATGTTGACAATGTTTTGGGATCATTTTAGCCTCTTCTGCATGTCCAGATCATTAGTAACAATCAACTGATTCTTATGCATTACACTTTCAAAAATAATTGATGCTGCAGCCCACTGACATGGTTTGAAATCAATATATTATCCATTTGTGACCCCCCACAGGACTTAAAAAGCACCTAACTAGATCATGAAAATCCCAAAAATCACGGGGGAGGGGGGGGGGGTATACCCCCGAACCCCCCTGTTTGGACCTCGGTATTTAGGTAATCCTGGATACGGCCCTGACACCGATCCCCGTTTATTGTCTAACAGCGAACTGTTCCGATGGTAAACTCCCGTATTATATCTGCTCTCTAACACAGAGAGTTGCAAGCAGCTATTGTCTGAGATCGCATGATGTAGTATTGTTAGATGTGCCAAGAGCAAGGACTGTCTTAGGTAAGACAGCTTTTATGTGCGCAGCTCCACTTGCTTGGAACAATCTTCAGCAAGAATTGAAACTGAGCAATCTCATTCCTCTGCATGTTTTTAAAGCTAGGCTAAATTAAATGCTCGTTGATACTATGGGTACTTGTAAATGTCGATAACTATGTAAATGTATCCTGTAAATATAATGTATGATGTCCTTTATTGTTTTATGTTTCATGTGGAACCTATATGCTGCAGGTCTCCCTTGAAAAAGAGATCTATGATCTCAATGGGACCAATCTGGTTAAATAAAGGTTTGAAATTAAATGAAACTGCTCACAGCTGACGACAAAATAAAAAAAATACATTTTTAAGGACCAAATTCAGTTGTTCATTTTACGTGCATTAAGAATGGTAGTATCACTTAGGATAATAATAATAATAAGCTAGCCTACATTTAACACAGAACCTAAACAAAAAGAGTCACACACTCAGGTATTATGCAAAATATTTGTTTTACTACAATACCATTACAAGGCAACACTAATGGATCCAACAAGTTAATAATAAATACATTTTCCATAATTTATTATTCAACAGTTAACATATGAAAAGGGAAATCTCTGCTGCGCATCAGCACCATGGACAGGGAGCCTCGGGAGCGGAGAGCGCGAGGAGCTCCAGCCGCAGGTCCGCGCCTTTACACACACACACACACACACACACACACACACACACACACACACACACACACACACACACACACACACACACACACACACACACACACACACACACACACACACGCACGTTCAAATCAGAATATCGTCATAACTGTCTTACAGCTGCTTGAGGAAAATCCCCTGAAGCTCCAGCAGCTCTTACCGTAAATATCGCTATTTCACTGCAGTTAATTATAACAAACTCTTAAATGTTGCTGCTTCACTGTGTTTAACATGCATTGATATACAAGATCAAACACTTAAACATGTTGTTTTTACCCTAATGTTAAACATATTACTAGGCTGTTTATAAGGATACTGTTCAATACGTGTATGATAAAGTTCTCGTTTTAAGATCCAGCGAGTCGCTTGGTCCGCACATATCCTGCATCATATTATAACTGCATTTAGTTTGCTTACCCTGCAGATATTGTATGTCCTGTTTTTCATAAACACCTGTAAGTGTGAAAATTAAATTGACATGCATTGAATATTGTCTCATATGTGAGTGCACCTGGTCTTCACGCTATGAACCGGATGTGTGTGGCATTGTGCTGTAATTGTAAGAGATACCTGTCTAGCAGCCCAGACCACTGAAGGAGCCGATCCTCTCCAGCCGGACCCCGAAGCAGCTCCGCAGCCCCCCCTTCTTGTACCGGCTCCACGAGCGCTTGGAGGTCCTCGTGAGCTCCTTGAATAGACGTGCGAGGACGCTTTCTTCAGCCAGAGCCGAGTTGCTGAGGTGCGAGGCCCCCCCCCACTGCTGCTGGGGAGCTCCGAATAGAGCCTTGTCTGAGCTCCCATCCCGCTCCCCCCTCTCCTCCTCCGAGCTGCGGAGCTGCTCTCCGAACAGCTGATCCAGAGTCTGTGGCAAAACAAAGCACCATCTGAAAACATCTCCATCATCATTATTTCCCTGACATATGAGACATGAGACACTGCAGGACACAGTAATGAACTTTGTCTTATAAATCTTTATAAAAAAATAAACAGTAACTTCAGAAGCAGCTCTTTTGAAATGAATATTCCATGTTCCTCTCATCATCAGGGACTTACCTGCAGGTTACCTGCCCCTGCGCAGTGCAGCAGGACCAGCAGGGACAAACAGCACGCGGACAGGTTTGGGCTCATTTTTCTCTTTCTGTTAGAACTATAGCTGTCGCGTGTCTCCGTCCCTGCTCCTCTCGCGTGTGTAGCGGGTGGGGGGCCAGGTGCTCCTTTATACTAACCTGATTCCGTCACGAGGCCTGGGAAAATGTACGAGGTGTGACTAATGGTCCTGCACGTGGGAGTACAGGCCGACCTGCTGATGGAATGTTCCAGGTTAATCTGCAGAGACAGCAGGCATTAAAGTCAGCTGCTGCTGCTCCGGAGTAAAAGTCATCTCTGTTCTCAAGAAATCTAAAGCAAGTTGATAACAGCACTTAGCTTCCCCTGCCAGATCCACACATTATTTTGTGTTTTTATCATATGAAGGTTATGTAAAATAATCACCTGAGAAGTACTCCGTTATTTCAGTTTCATTTTCTTTTGTGACTTTTACTTCAGCTGTATTCAACACTTTGAATATTGAAGGTATTTCACTTACATTGTGTTCATTTACCCCTGCAGTCTTGGTCTTGAAAGGTCCCCCGCAGAGTGAAATACCTTTTTAGTTTAATTGGTAAATGATTGATATTGGCATTTTCTTCAAAACCCCAGATTGTGTTCAATAACAATGTTTTTAAAATAATGTCTTGCCACAAATTAGTGCATGCATTTACAGCTCCTCAACATCACGCTCTCTATTTGCTGCTTTGCTTCTGAGTGTAAATAGGTACTTTGAGCCAATCTGACACTCCAAAAGTCTGAAGGGGTACATATGTGTGTGTGTGTGCGCCTCTATGGGACCTTGCTCCTTCATGCCCACCCCTCATCCTAGCCCCTCACAGCGCAGCCCCCCTGCATTCAGGCTCGGGGCTTAATAATGAGCGATTGGCCCCTGTGAGGCTGGATCACTGTGGAGGTGGAGGGCGGCTAATTGGCATTCAGCAGCTTCTCAACTGGAGGGCTATCAGATGAAATTGACTCAGACCTCAGGGCAGCGGTTCCACATGTTTCTGTGGAAAGAGTCTGAACTCTCATCATTCCACCTGTGGCTCCTGTCAATCAGAGACAGGTGTAGCCAGGAATCATCAGATCATACATTAAGATTATTTTGTTTTTGCATAAATGAAGATGACATCCTTTCAACTTTTTCATATATTGTTGAATCATTTATTCTAAGATAATGTCATCATTTATATTCAAATAATACTTTATAAAATCACAAGATTTAATCAAAGTTTAATCTAAATTAAAAAAATTGATTTGTCACTTTATGTGTTAGATAAATCCAGTAAAATAAAAAGTACAATATTTCCTCCTGAAACCCGTAGGCTACTTTAGTACTTGAGGAAATGAATGTTATAACATTCATTTTCCACATTGACAATATCAGTGGCCAGCAGGTCTCTACAGCTTCAGGAGTGAGCTGGTTGTTTGGACTGGCTGACATTTAAACCTCTAAACTGTCACTTAGATGAAGAATGTTCCATCCACACTGACACCGGTTCCCCTCCATTAAAGGCCTTAATTAGAACATGGGTGACTCATCATCTAACGATGGAGCCTGCTGAACTGAGGAGGAACTCTGAAATGAGAGCATGATGACGTCAAAGCCTATAGACAGCCAGCCAGAGGTTCCCCACACCTTGAGGAGGAAGTCCCCCTTACATGACTGAACTAAAGTGGTGCAGGAATGAGTCCTAAAACTCGGAAAAAACGTAGCATTTCACCACTTCCGGTCCCTTGTCTCAAAGTCAAAAATGTTTTGAACGTGTGTGTGGTTGGAAGCCTAACATAAAATACATAACAATAGCATTTTCAACCCAGTCCGACAAAAAGAACATGTCATAGCTTCGTTGGTCCATTTTAATAAAAGAATACTCTCAAATTGTGACATGGCTACATTATTTTTCCTATTAATTTCTAACGGCCAGTGTCCATGTCACGTTAGCGTCAACTTTCCGAGCTTGTTGACTAATCGCGAGGTTTGTCAAGCAAAGCATTCTGGCATCGTCTTCACAACGATAGCAGAGGATTATGGGTAGTGTAGTGTCTTTAGCTATCCCAAACTATTTGTTTCTCAGAATCAAAAGGGAAAAACCCAAAGGCATTGTTCACAATTTTAACCAGGACAAACTGGTGTTTTTGAGTTGATGAGTACTGCAGATATCAGTGTGAGATCAATTCAGCAGGTCACCCTTGAAAAAGAGATCAATGATCTCAATGGGATTCACCTGCATAAATAAAGGTTTTAAATTAAATGAATTGACAGCAAGTCATGATTTTAGTTTTTGTGTTTATAGTTTCTTGTTTTAATTTGAAATGTTTTCCCTCTATTGAATAGGCACAGGGGCGGAACTACCGGGGTGGCAACTGCCACCCTAAAAAATAGCCTTGCCACCCCAGTTGGCATCTTTGTTTTGAAAGAAAAGTTGTGGCTCATCGGACATTTATGAGAGAAAATCTCTAATGTCCGAGTGCAAGTGAATGCAACACCAGACGCAAGTCTTGTAACCCCTCCCCCGGCCCTGGCGCGAGTTTGAAAATATGATTTGGCGGCGATTTCATTTGAACGGGGGGACGGCGCAAAACGAGAAGCATTCGGACCCAAGTAGACGGAAGGAATGAGGTATTTGCGGTCTACAATGACAGAAAAGAGACTGTCAAGTTTGGCTGTACTCAGCATTGAATCAAAACGCACTAAAGCTGTTGATCTTAAAGGGCCCATGTCATGGCCATTTCCACTGATCATAGTTACATTGTTGAGGTATACTAAAATAAATTTATGCTGTGCAATTTTCCAAACTCACATTGGTTTCGCATACAGCATCTCTGTAAAGTATGTGTATTCAGCAGTATTCACTCTCTCCACTAAACGGCTCGTTGGAACTCTTGCCCCCCCCTCCCTGTGAGCCTAGTGTGCTCCGATTGGTGAGCTTGGCCACTCTGTTCTGATTAGTCAACCACCAGAGAGGCTCCGCCCATGTCTAACAGTGCTTTTTTCGGCTCGCTCTCGGAACATCAGTCTTATAATGGCGTCGGTACAGCCGTATATTTTATACGCTAACTAACCGAACTGTACCTACAACTGTTGTTATTGAAGAGTGTGATTATTTAAACATTAAATAATACTTTAGGTTAAGGTCTTCTTTTAAACACATGTAAGCAAAAAGCTTTGGTGGTATCTTTATTAAGCCTGACAAAGTACTTAACGTTTAATATATTGCATGGTTTGTTTTGGAACTTGACAATCAACTTTCCTGCAATGTTAACTATGTTGAAGCACTTATTTTAACTGATATTATACATATTAATTATACTCTTATAAGATGTATGTAGATAGTATAAGAAATGTGCAGAATATGACAGTTTAATGGTGGAGGTATACATACATATTGATAGATGTCTTGTTGAGGAACCTGCGACCCAAGTTTGTCATCATTGCATAACTACACCGTAGTCGTGTATATGATATGTCAATAAACCTTTGAAAATCTTGAAATCTTGAAAGGGATGTGCAAAATAGCCATTATATACAGTTTTTGATGAACGATTAGAGAATAACGAGTAATGAATATACTTTATAGGGATCTGCAGATAAATATTTAGTCTTCTCAAGCACCCACTACCAAATATCTCTCCTGATTGTTGGCACTTGACAATCACCTTCACTGAATGTTACTCAGGTGTAACTAAAGTCTGATTTAAGGGTTGTTTATATTTCACATCATTAATCCAAATCTGTAAAGTAACTAAAATAAATGTAGTGGAGTAAAAATACCAGGTTAACCTTAAAGAAAGCCCTCAGGATTATAAAATACCCCCATCACCCCAGCCACAAACTGTTCTGTCTGCTGCCGTCTGGCAGGCGGTACCGCAGCATCCGGACTAAAACCACCAGACTCAGGGACAGTTTCATCCCACAGGCCAGAAGACTATTAAACACCTGAACTTAGAAACAACATCCATAACATTCATCTGGCTGCTACTTAGAAATTATTTATCTAATATATCATATTCCAATCACTTGTATATAGACTCTTATTGCACTATTTCACTTTTTACTATTTATCTTTTTGTATTTACTTGCAATATTTTTTTTGTGTATCTGTTTTATTGTGTTGCACTGTTGGAGGAGCCTGTGACCTAAGGGGGGGAGGGGGGATAGGACACGTTCGAGTCTTGATTTGGATAGTGTGCCGTCGATGGGTTTCATTCCATTTCAAAGTGCTGTTTGACGCTCGGTGTAAACTCTGCGCACTGCCACTCCAACATCCAATCACAGAGCTTGAGAACTAATCACGGGGTTTGTCGAGCAAAGCACATGGTGTAGTCCCAAACGATAGCTGAGGATTCTGGGTAGGGTAGTGTCTTCTGCCGTCCTAAACTCAAAAAAAATATTTGTTTCTCCGAATCGAAGGGGAAAAATACAAAAGCATTGCACACAATTTAAACCAATCAATGTTGTGTAATTAACAAGGATAATCTGGTGTTTTTTAGTTGATGAGTAGTGCAGATATCACTGTCAAATCAATCGACAGTAAGGAGAATACTTACTTCCGGGTGTAAAATCCTCCGTTATCCAATGGGAATGGACGCTCACATTGCCTTTAACTGCCGCTGACATGGACCGATGCGGTGCTTCCCTGAGCGTCAAATACCGCCGCCGATGGGAATACATTGCAATCAGTTGAAAGCTCTTTGCGTCCGTTTATGAAGCTGAAGGAGACTCGGTGCGTCACAACTGCACGCCACGGGACCCTGACCAAGCGTCGCTCCTGGACGTTCAGGGAGTGAGAGTGTGTTGCTTCATCTTGTTACATGTTTGAGCTGAACTGTGTGAATGTGCTGTGTTTTTCTCAAAGTTGTAACTTCTACAAAACAGACAATAAAAATATAAGCTGGTATAACAATAAATGCAGTTGAACATATTGAATCCATATATAAACTCATATGTAGTATGACTCCAGCCCATAGCCGCCCGTCAATATTAAATTATCAGTTGATTTTAGCTCTTTAGAGGTGTGGTCGAATATTCATTTTAATTACAGGTTTAAAAAAAACATTTGAACCTGTTATAATGTGA